ACTTTCCACATCTTTTCTAGCTCCTCCTTCAGTCCTTGGTATTTCTCAAGCTTCTCGTGTTCTTTCTTCTTGATGTTGCTGTCGCTTGGGATTGCCACACAGAAAAAAAAATAAAAATAAATAAATAAATAAATATATGTATGTGTGTGTGTGTGTGTGTATGAATTACTTTCTGTTTACTCTATTATCTCAGGTTAGACACAATGCCAAAGGCTAACTCAGTCAATATCTTTGAGTCAGTCAGAGATAGCCAGACTAATGTTACACTGCACTACTGCTATTTCTGCACAAACAGATAAAACCTAACAATCAAAGGGGAAATCGCAACATAAGGTAAAAAAAAATAGCTGTAATTGCTCAAAATGTGTTTCCTTTTTCAGTTGACTTATTCAGAATTAATATCACTGAAGTAAAAGTTGAGCCATTTCTTGGAATTTTGTTCTGTCTTCAGGATGAAAGGATTTTAGTTATAAAGTCTGTAAAGATTCAGCATAAGATGGTGGATACTTCTCATGTATATATTTCAACGTCTTTATTTTTATTTTTTTTAAGCTTTGTTGAGCATCTTATAACAGAGCTGATCAACTTTTGCTCCCTTAAAACAGGAGGAGATACGGCAGCTGGTGAGGGCCAAGCGGCACAAGATGGCGCGAGCGTTCGGCGTCCTGCAGGAGCAAAGGGAGGGAAGCGGGCCGCCTGTGGTCAGCCACGAGAACTGGACCAAGCTGGTCCGACAGGTGCGACCCGACATCAGCGACCCACACAGAGAGCTGCTGTGGAGAGTCTGCGATGACGACAACCAAGGCTTCATAGGTGGGTCCAACATGGCCGAAACGAGGCCTGGGCTGAACCCGAGCAGCACGTTTCCTTTTTTTAACAGAAAGATGCAAACTAACATGTGGAAAATGATGCCAGTCATGATGCGGTTCACACTTCAGGCCTCAGAGAGGCGGCTTTGCTGATGCACTTTCTTCACACCTTTCCTCCACTAAGAGGAAGTGGAAGTGCCTGATCATGCTGCTCTGCTCAGACTTCTCTTTACGTTGTTCATCCAAACGCCATGCTCACTTTCAGAAGCACGTTTTTGTTTTATTTTGACGCAATCAACTCATCTCAACTCTCCTGTTACATTTTAAACTTTTATATTGTATTCTTTATAAGGAATGATTAGTTAAATTTAAATGAATTTATTTCTAATTAAAAATCATATCCAAGTTTTAAACAGAAAAATAAAGTTGCATCATGTAGGAAGGAGATTTCATGTAGTTATGAATATGATCACCTACTGATTATTTTCTAATTATTATTATTATTAATAGACTCAGAAAGTATTTACACTGCAAAAAAATTAAATCTGAATAAGCAATTTCTTCTTAAAATAAGTGCATTTTTTCTTGAATTAAGGATTTAAGTGAGACATTTTGCCAACGCAACAAGACAATTTACACTTAAAATAAGAAAAAACAATTGCATTGTCTTATTTCAAGTGCATAATATCTAGATACCTTATTTTAAGAGTAAAAATACTAATTCCATTGGCAAATCATCTTATTTACCTGCTCAAATTAAGGGTAAATACCCTTAATTTAAGACATTTTTACTCATTTTGTAGTGTATCTGTTATCACTAATCTACTCTCATTTAATGAAGTAAAAACAAAAAGTAAAACACTAACAAAATGTAAACTTTAAACTAAGTCTTAAACCTTTACAATCCAGAGCCATTTTTGACTTCAGTCCAGCTAATAAAACCTGCTGAGAGCTGCAAACATTACATGAATCTATTATATTTAATAAACATCTAACATAGAAGATTTGTCCTTTTTTAAATAACTACTGTGTGAATTCAAATTTTAGAATTGAAGAAAATAATTGTGACAAGAGAATAAATGAAAAATTAATAAGTAGCTGAAATCTGTAGGAAATTATGTTTTAAAAAAGGGAGAAAAAAATGTTTTACCCACTTTAAATTAAAAAGTATATTTTTTCTATTTTTTTTAATGTATTTAGTCAATGGAAAAAAATGCTAAGC